GATTCGGCGCATGTCCGGAATCTGGGTATATCTCAGCGGCCAGGTCGTAGTAACCTTTGGCTGGGCCCCAATTGCGGTCCTTGTTCTTCTCGACGAGTTCGGTTTCGCGGTAGCGGGAAAGGTCGCCGAGCTGGATGAGCGTCTGGTGGCAAGAGATGAGGACCTGCGTTTTCAGGTTCGCGGCGATGCGCTGGCGCGGGGAGGACTTGGAGGCTGCTCTCTTATCAGCAAAGTCGCGTGGCGCGCACCGGGCGTGCTTACTATCATCCTTCCATTTCTGGGCAATTTTGCGCAGCTCTGGGATGCCGTCAAACTGAGTGTCGAGGTTCAGTATGTATTGGCGGTAGAAGCGCTGGCTGGCCTTGATAAACTGCAGATAGGTCTTTTGGAACTTGCGAATCTCGACAACATGGTCCTTGGATCGCTTGAGCTGCCGGGTGTTAGCGATGCCTCTCGTGCTTTCTCGCGTGGTGACGCACCAGCTTATGTTCCTGCCTGAATTTGGTGTTGACCTTCAGATGCGCATTCCACAGCGTCGTCTGGAGTTCGCGGGCGGATGCGTATTCGAAGTTGGAGAAGATAAGGGCCTCGCAGGCGGCGCGGTATCTGTCGGACATTAGTTGTCGCCGGTATGAAGTGGCAGCGATGCCTACTCTTGCAGCACCGCAGCTAGCTCGGCGCACGAAGAGCCACCATCAGCGCGCTTATACAGGTCCTTCTCGATCGCCTTCGCCCGTCTATACTTTTATTAGCACCCGGCCGACATGACCGGAATAACGCGATGACGCACCTGTCGAGTTGTTCGGTGTTGGCGGCCATGCCTTCTATGTGCAGGAGCCGGCGACGTTCATATGTGACCCCACGGTCGGCGGGCAGGTCAGACGAAGGCACGGAGCAGGCGGCGGACGTTGTGGCTGGCGTGCTCCATTTATGGTGAGGGGGTATGCCCTGCGTAAAGGACAGAAGCGAGCGGGAGGGTCTCGGAGGCAAACAGCGCCCAAGACGCGGAGCTATGGCGTCAGAGTCGGAGGCGATGGCCGTGGTGAGAGGTGTGAGAAAGTGAGGTTGGTGGATGAGTCGCGAGAACTAGCGGGCGCAGCAGTCTCGGAGCTAAGGTACCACGTCCCGGCCCCTCTGGCTACCAACCCTCTCTTTCACCGCACAGCCAACACCCAAGTGAAACAGCCCTGCGAGACGGCACTCTCCCCGGTAAAAGGTACTGCCCCTTTCATCTACGCCTCGTCACAGTCACAATCAGCCCCAATCAACATACAATGGGGATCAAGCGCTCACACCGCGATTCCTCGTCATCAGACAGCACACCCTACTCGCGTGAGACATCGGCCGACGTCAAGATTGTCCACTTAGATACCGAATCTGCCGTGTCTGACGAACCCATCATCATGAAGTGCTCACTGCCTCCGCACGAACCGCTTGCGTTCAATTCTATTGAAGACCACGATGTGCACTACCAGCAAGTTCACATGAACCGATGCAGCGAATGCCACAAGAACTTTCCGGATCAGCACTTTCTACATTTGCATATCGCAGAATATCACGATCCCATCAATGCTGCCAAGCGAGACCAGGGAGAGAAAACGGTAGGTCGTTTCCTTACATTGTTTGTCACGTGTTTGCTCCTTCCCTTTCTGGATCTCCCGAGTGGTTCCTTCCTCTTGACAAGATCGCCCATCCATTTGGAGTAAGACTGGTGAGGTATGCGGAGTACGAGCGCCTTCACAAGGACACTGTAGCTGATAGCTCGCAGTATGCATGTCTTCTACCTGACTGCGATCGCATGTGCAGCACGCCCCAGAAGCGCCGCCTCCACTGCATTGATAAGCACCAGTTCCCTCGCGAGTACGACTTCATCGTTGTGAAAGACGGTATCGATCGCCGAAGCAGCATGTTAATCCCTTCTCATCGACGGAGAAGCTCAACAATGAGCTCGGTGAATGGCGCTGCTGGTTCTCCAAGGAGGCGGAGAGGCGAGTCCAGCGCAAGCACTGGTGACACTATGGATATGGATCACGAAGAAGCTCAGGAAGAAGGAGAAACGCGTCGCTACCCCACCAGACTTCGCGGGCGTGGTGGATTCGGAGGCCGCGGACTCGCACGAGAAGATGCAGCAGGTATCACTGCCCCAAAGATAGCCACTACTGATCAGCCGATCGATTCCATGGACAGTCTGGCTTCTAGCATGTCTGCACTGAAATTTGTTCCTCACAGTGTCCGGGTAGCGCGCACAAAGGGTAGAGGAGGAGGTGCCTGAAGATACAGCCTTCAAACGAAAGAGAAGAGTTCGGCTGATACTTTTGTCTTTCTTCTACATTATTGTGATCGTTCTTTCTGTTGCATCTCTTGTCAAGTCATGTTGCCTTGAGTGCCTTCCACAGATGTCGGTTGCCACGTGGTAGTGGTTACAACAACATTTCACTTGACGCCATCCTCATTACATCACTACTGGTCTTCCTCGGCGATCCTGTATTGCTATCGATCGCGATAGCAAGGTATGTATGCGACTTTAGAGGAATCAAACTACAAGCTAACATCGTCGCTGGCCGAGTCTCCTTCTTCCGTAATGCGCCTGTCGGCACAGCAATGGTGCACATTGTCTGGCTGCGTTACGCATTGCAAATCATCCTACTCCTTTTCGGTCGTCTGAAGTCACTCGGGCTGGTATTAGTGGAGCTTGCAGCCGTCTGTTGTCATGTTTTCCTGTTACGCGTGATCCTCACCCGACCACAACAACCGCCCCACTACCGCTTGCGCGCAATCGTCATATGCGTCCGAAACCTGTTCAGACTCATAACCGTTATGAAGCCGTCGACTGTCGCTCGTTGTGCAATCGCAAACGAATACATGCGCCGAAGAAAACAGCCATCTTGTAACGCTGCCAATCGCACTCACCTGGAGCACCAAGTCGAACTCTTAAGCACCACCATTGAAGAAACGCCAGACAAGCAAACAACGGAGGTGCAAGCTCAGTCAGCGTTGAATCATGTACAATCCCTCGTCACACCGACCGCGAACGAGCGATGCGACACAGTCGCAGTCGGCGTCAGGACCATCGCTTTGGATAACAATAGTACAGCACCTAGTAAGTACCGGTCGGATGCAGAGTAGATACAAGGTCTATTATACAAAAGCTAACACAGAATTTCGATAGGACATCTCCGCAAGCCGGGCGTTTGGAGGCCAATGTCAATGAGCGAACGCACTGGCAGTACCGTTCTGGCGGCTTTGCAACCCAACGCAGACAGAGGCGTGGTGGCTACGGGAACAAATGCTGCACAAGACCCATGTGTTGGCGGATTCGGCTTGCCTGCACGCGACACTGTCACAAAGGCGTGGAAAGGGACGACCGACCACGAGTACCAGATTTCCACCACCTTCTGCTTCCCTGCCATGGATGCATCCGCCCCACGATCTCTTCCTCCGACGCCGCACCCTGAAGACTCAAGTGACACAGCATCTCCGACCTCAGATACAACCTTGTTCGAAGACGCGCCTGTATGCATACCCAGCCAGTTAGGATGCGATGAAGACATCGGGGCGTACATAGCTTGTAACGACGCATCGATGGAAGGAGTGTCAATCACCTGGACTCCCCAAATGGCAGAGCACGAAATCGATTCTGTCGCGAAACGCCCTCTTCGGCATCGTCGATACGTCTCTTCTCAATCAAGCTTCGACGTTACTGAAACGCCTCAAATCCCACTTCGGTCAAGATCAAGAACGAACGATGGACTGCTGTTGTTTAGGGCAAATTCTTCCAAGGAAACCACAGATAACGCCCCTGAAATAAGACACCGTCGGAAGGTCTCTCTGAACCTTCCAGTCAACACACACGCAAGCCAGGTCACCCCCACCCAGCCATTTGGAAAGCCCGGTGTCAAAAGTTGTACAAAGCGAACGTCTGGCATGGAGACCGCTTACTATACCACCAGCGTAGACGCATTGACTCCAGAAGAACGGGATCTAGAGTACAAGCACCGGCATACATTCATAGGAACTGGCTCGCTAGACGACTTCCTAGAAACACTGGAACTTTCACCAAACCATACCGCTACCAAAGATGCGATTGCTCGGGCATTCGTACAACTGGCAGCATCAGAGCAGCTCTACGCTCGACAATGTTCTGCTGGTCAGGGGTGGAATCTAGTTATGCGAACAACACTGAGCCTCATGGACGTTACTAGCGTCGATTACATTGTCCAGTCCCAAGTCAAGCTGGGCTCCATTACGCTACGGCAATTCCTGGACTTGATACCTTTCGATGAAGTCGATGAGGTGGCGGCACTACGTATCGTAGAAGCGTTCTCTGTTGCTAGTCATCTGGATGCGACGACATGTATGGGCGCACGAAGCAAGGCACGAGCTTTCCGGAAGTGGATGGTCAACCAAAAGAGGGTGGACGCAGATTGTTGAGGATAACAGCGATGAAGTACGCGCACTTCCCCCTACTATACCCAGTCAATTTTCCTAGCATCAATACCCCAATGTCATCGACGTATCTTCCTATGCACGCTCCTGTACTATTGCTTTTCGGAGAGTTTATGATCAGAACAGTGAAGCAGACACATTTCCTTGTTTCATTGAGTGTCTCTCCTTCCCATCTGGGCAGTACTTCAAGGCACGTGTCTTCCCTACACCCACCCCGGCCTTGGCGCCTACGCTTATCGGCCTTCTTTTCGATATCGTCTCTTGACCTTCTTCCCTGAGTTGATCTTACGCCTTATTCGCACTCTCAAAACGCCACTCAGCTTGCTCTTACCCACTGATCCCAGAACCTCACGGCTTCCCCCATCGCGTTGAGGCAGGTCTCCTTCCAGTCCGAACTATCACTGAAGGTCCGTGCTCTGCCTTACTACCCCCACTCGATACAGTCTCCAGCCGCTTGCACTGTACTCTCTACTCACTCGCAATACACCGGAGGCAATCGATCCGTTCGCCACATAATTGCTACATACTCACACGAATCATCGATAGCTACTACGATGTCGGGCCGCCCACTACCGTCGTCAAGCGTTCTGCTAGGAGAAGTCAAGGCCACTGTCTTGCGCAAGTACAAGAAGAGCGCATCAGTCTTTCTAGAGGACGCCGCTCTTGATATGATGCTTACCGAACATCCCGGTGACATCCAGCGCTACGCTGGATTCTACAACATGGTCTACCTCTTTCTCGACCCCTCTCACTGCCAAGAGTCAAACCGACCGTTTGCGAACCCCCTTCTTACCAAGGACTCGACGACTCGTTTCATTTGGAACAAGAAGGAGTATGACTGCGCCGATTGCCTTGTGGATAGTGACGATGATCACCCCGAATCGATTGAGGCTGCAGCAATTCGACCTATTGAAGGGTCCATCGGCGCACCCGTCATTATCCCTACGGAACAGGTGGCCGCTATCTCGAAGAAGACGCAGAAGAAAATGTTTGCCTCTCAACCTGGAGAGAACATCAAGACGCGGCTTCGACGCGTATACAACGAGCGCCAAGAGGCAAGGAAGCTTGACAGCTGGCGGGAGCTGAAAGCCACAGTAGAGGCCACTGCGACATGCGATTTACCTGCCCACGTCTCTACTACCCAATTGCACTTCTGGAACGCCGTCTTCTTGGACATTCTTCCCTGCTTACCAGCGTCTGAACGCGCCGCTCGCCTCCTGGCTCTTGAGAGTCGCGATGTCACTGATGAACAGCCCGAGCCATGGTCTGATATCTGGCAGACATACCAGTATGTCCGATATATTAACGATATTGAGACAGCTGGGTGGGAGAAGACTCTGCGCGAACTGTCTGAGAACTACCAAGACTTCTCTGAGAAGTTGATGGATCTCAATCTCGCCACACGTATGGCGCTGGGTCTGTCAGTCGCACTGCCGCCAGTTCGCACTGAAGCAACATCGGTGCTCGCCGAGTCCACTACTTCCAAACCATCGACTCCTCACACTCCGGTAGTCGACACTGGCGCTCATCGTCCCAAGCTCCTCCCAAAGTCGCAGACTATGCGGAAGAACTTCGGGTTGGCTTGCTTGGCTGAGAAGGTTACTGTAGCTCCTGAGGTCGCTGCAACGCCGGCACCTCCAATTCCTACTGATACCAATATCTTCGGTCTTCCTACGGTAGTACCACAGAAGGCACATCCACCGTTCGGTGGCTTCACGTTTACTCCCTTGGTTTCGAAGACGGCCAGTGCCCATCCTACGTCCGTGCTACCACAGTCCGCCCCGAATGCGCAGCTCCCCAACACACCGGTGTTCGACTTTGGCTTCGCTAAGAGCACCTTTGACGCACCAAATTCTGCGTGCGCTCCGAAATTCAATGGAGGCGCTGGCTTCGGAAGAGACTCCACACCTCAGACGCCCACGTCGTCTTCGGCTGAGCAGATTACACAGCTCGTTGCACCAATTGTCGAAAAGACAAAGTCTCTCTCCGTTGTGTTCGGTGCTCCAATCGTTGGCCCTGACTTATTGACACCGGTGGAACCGAACCTTTTCGCCCACCTTAACGAGCGGGTTGCTGATTTTGACACTGGCAATGAAAATGGGAATTATCTCAAGTCTGAGACCCGACCAGCTATCAAATCGACGCGTATAGGCCGAAGCTACGAGCCTGTTCTGGACATAATCGTTGAAGAGCCCGTCGAGCAGACTTCCGAAGAGCCCGAGGAGGGCGATATGGAGCGGAATTTCGACAACGATCACGAAGACGACGACGACCACTTTAGCAGATCAGTAGTCTCTTCATGTTGGCTAACAACGGAAGATGACTTCAAGTACATGAGAGATGCCATGTCTCTCTTTCGCGAGAGCAAGTCGAGAACCTACACCGTTGGGGAGTTTGCAGTCGACTACATCATCACACGAGGCCTAGATCTCCCGGCAGAAGACCTGGTTCCTAGAGTCACTGAGTTCTTGAACACTCTGCCCTTCGACCACAGATCTTTCGTTCAGACTCGAGATGAGCATGGGGTTGAAGCAGCTGCGAGCTTTGAGGAAGCATTAGAATTCTTCGAGCCACATCTAATAGCTTTATCGACAGTGATACATATAGATGGCGCCCCTCCTGCGACAGGCATATCTATGGCGCATCCAGAAGATGTCAAGATTACTACTACTGTGCAGAGCGCGCCCATCATGGCAGTAGTACCCGAACGTCAAGCAATGTACGAGGATGACGAAAGCTACAACTGCATCAACGGCTACGAATACCTGATCCAGATCGACTGCAGCGACCACGATTCACAAGCTGATGGTGGCGCCAATATCGACCGGCCAGATGCTCTCGACGAACTTATGCCAGACACCAGGGACAAGTCACCATCTTTTGAGTGTGGAGTCGGCATTGTGGATAGTGATTCCGCGTCCACTGTCACACTTACTCCGTCATTGACGCACTCGCCTATCTCAGAAGCCGAGCTTGCCATCGATACCGAGATGGCAGAAGAATACATGCTCGATGGATACGGCCGCCCACTCCAGCTGACCGGGATGCCTCGAAATGACAAGAAGTTCTTCGAAGCGGTACATACGAAGATTGTCGCAGACGCTGACCAGTATGAGTTCGACTGGGCTGAGGTAGAATGTCTTCTGGGCCCTCAAGACGAGGAAGATGACGACGATGACTACGTTGTACCTACGGTCGATGATGATGGGAAGCCCATCAAGTTCACACTAGACATAGAGCCTCTACAAGACGGCTGGGCCCAAGGTGTTCTCAAGCAGGTCTTCCCAGACTTCGAGCAGGCTGAGGCTAAGCTTCCTGATGTTGCGCCGCAACTCCAGGTGGAAGTTGATCAGACGTCCTTTTCAGCCATGTTAAACTCCGGATATATGTCCGATTCGGTTGGTATCCCGGAGAACACTTCGGTTGCTGCAGCGAAGTTGCCAAAAACGCAACTAGTTGACACTTTGATGTCCAGTCTTGGGTCCATCTTCGTCGACTACGATACGCTTCTGCATGAGCGGTATGCACAGGTTGCAGCAGTTGGCACTGATGCAGAAGACCAGAAGGCCGGCTACCATCTACCTAGTCTCGCCGTTCGTACTGTTCAGTCAAAGGCTGTGCCTACCGAGAATTCAGAACCACTCTATGGTATCGGAACTAGTAGTTCTGTTCATATGAACTTGGCTGCGCGATCACTGATGTTCAATCAGCGCCACCCAGTCCGTCACCTACCGCACTCTGACTTGGCGGTGTATGACTGGCTCAAGTCTCAACCGGATAATAGTCTGGCAAACATCAGCGCGAACGGACTGGGTGAGCACGCACCGTTTGACGTGATCAAACTTTGTCGGTGTTCCCGCAATCAGGGAGCGGGAAGAGTACATGATAGCCGGGATCATGAAACAACAACTTCGAGCCCCCAAAGAGAGAGGCTCATGAAGCCGAACGCAGAATCGGAGGAAAATGACGACCCTTTCGGGGATGGCGAGCTCAAAGAGCACCCACTATATGCGCGCTCCGAAGCGTGCATTATCCGCATCGCCCTCCGCCTATCGACGTAGTCGAATGGGCTTTCATAGTCGGTTCATCGCTATGTCCTTCGATTATTTCGCAACGGGTTACGGCTTCTCTTCACCAATACGACAACGATGGTCCCGTCCTGGTCAGACATTGATACCGACAGTCACTTCTGAGCTCGATCCAGACTGTCAGACCCCCGACGATTTGCCCGCCTTGGCCATAGAGCTAAGGTAGAGAGCAAACTCCGCTCTGCTGGGTCAAAGATCCGCAGATGAGAAAACCACAGCGTCTGTCTGCGCCATAGAGCGAGCAGACACAAAGCGAAATACACTTTCCTGGACAAAAGGCCAGGTTGCAGAAAATATCATTCTGTTTGCCTGAACCAGAGAGCAAAGGCAGAAAGCAAAGATCGTTCCGTCGGGTCAAAGGCTCGGCGACTGAGAAGATCGATCTGTGTGTCTCCACCAAAGAGTGAGTAGACACACAACAAAATCCCCCTCGGGCCAAAGGTCCAGGCCTGAAGAAGCAAGGTGCGCAGCCACTGCAATTGCGAGGAGGACTTGTCGCTCAATGATGCGACATGATGAAGAGAATTACGGCGGTCACAAAGATGGTCGTCTCGTCGAGGTCTCTACGTCCACGGAGAAGGACAGCGTGGTATTTCCAGCGACGATGCGAGGAGATTTGAGGGTTGGTATGCGCATGAATGGTCACGGTGGAATGCGTGTCAATGGTGTTGGAGGTTGTTTTGAATTTCGCCGACGACATTTCGTTAGCACACGCGCGCTCAATGTGCGCGCAGGAAGGTACGAGGATGTAGGAAACCTAATCGGGTCGCGAAACACCAAATCGGTGACTTCTAGAGCGGTGTGAGATGACGGGCAATCTGACTGTTAGTGAGGGCTTCCCCGCCATCCACAACGCTACTCTAGATCGCGCATGCTTCGAGCTGTCATCTCGACGATGCAAATCCTTGATTTCGAAAGAAATGCATCTTCTCTCGTATGCGGGTATGGCCGTTTCGGATACGCGGCTACACCAAGACCCTAGTAGCACGCATCCCACCCGATCATCCGGACAGCGCAACTCCAATGACGAGTGGAGAAAAGCATCTGATCTTCCCCGCATCATCCTTGACGCAGGAACCGATGGCACTGCCTTGATCCAAGTGCAGCCACCCGGACGTCGCGGAAGACTTGCTGCTGTAGTGACGGCCTAAGTCCTCGGCGCCCAAGACATTTCCAAGCGCCGCCAATGCCATCTTCAAACTTGGCGACTTGCATTACGCACACCAGCCCCTATGTACAACGACAACCGGGACCTGCGCGCAATCAATGATAGGGGAGGGCCTGAAGGGCCAGACTAGATGGCCAAGCCAATCGTGAGTTTCGTAGTCATTTTAACGAGTTTAAACGACCCAACCCTAGCCTCGTACCAACACCGAAGGATGACTACCAAGCGTTGCACTGTCGCCCAGCTACTGCTGCGGCTCAACGCCGTTACTTGGCTGACGGCCGAAGGGGTTTCATAACATCACGACTCGCCATCCTAGAATGTTCGTTCTCTCGTTTTCCCTCGCTTCCTCCACACCAACCTCAGGCTCCGCTTCAAGTCGCTCGCTGTGTAGTGCCTCAGGCGCACTCGTTAATCCACGCATGCCGAATACCCAACACCTTTCTTTCCAGTGATACCCCGGAGCTTCCGCCATGAGACCTTCGAACCTTGTTTTTGCAGCAGTCGGCCTGCTTTCCTCATTCGCCACTGCGCAGCTGGAGTTCAATGTTGACGATCCAGGTGCGCTCACTGCAACTGTTTTCGGACCACACTAACACAAATAGCCTCTATTAAGGATGCGACAAAAGTTGTTGCGGCGGGCTTAAGAGAATGGTACACTGGTGACAAACCCGGCGATGTACCTGGAAACTTGCCAGACCCATACTACTGGTGGCTATGCGGTGCCATGATGAACTCGTTCATCGACTACTGGTACTATACCGGCGACGACACATACAACAAGATTGTACAGCAAGCGATGGTGCACCAAATCGGTATCCCAAGAGCCTTTATGCCAGAAAACCAGACAAAAACACTAGGAAACGACGATCAGGCTTTCTGGGGAATGGCTGCCATGTCAGCGGCGGAGAACAAGCTTCCGGATGTCGAAGGAGAAATGTCGTGGTTGTCACTCGCCATCGCCGTATTCAACACACAGGTACCGCGTTGGAATCCCGAAACATGCGGCGGTGGACTCAACTGGCAAATTTTCCGATTTAACCCCGGATTCGACTACAAGAACACAATCTCCAACGGATGCTTTTTCAACATCGCAGCAAGGCTGGCAAAATACACAGGCAACGAGACGTATGTTGAGTGGGCTGAGAAAGCATGGGATTGGCAGTACAGTGTCGGTCTCATCAGCACAGATTACCATTTCTTTGGTAAGGATGCTCTTGAACATGTATCAGATGATATACGTGCTAACATGTACCTTTCTTAGATGGTACCAGCGAGAGACAAAACTGCACGGAAAAGAACCACATCCAATGGACCTACAACGCTGGAATCCACATGGCGGGCGCCGCAGCCTTGTGGAACATGTCAGAAGCGAAGGGTGATACAGTAAGCCTCCTTGAACCTGATCCAACTCTACCCTCATTCTAACGCAATAAAGGAACGAGCAGGCAGATGGCGAGAGCGCCTAGGCGGTGTTATCAACGGTACCGACATCTTTTTCCAACAGCAAGGAGCCCCAGACGTCATGATCGAAATGGCCTGCGAACGCAACGGACTATGCGACCACGATCAACGATCCTTCAAAGCCTACCTCGCCCGCTGGATGGGCTGGTCGATGCTGGCCGCTCCCTGGACCCGCGACCGCATCATGCCGAAACTCCGTGCCTCTGCCGTGGCAGCTGCGCAACAATGTGGCCCCGGAAAAGGTGGCTGTGGTCTTAGGTGGTGGCAAGGTGGAAATGACAAAGAGGTGGGCGTTGGAGAGCAAATGTCTGCACTGGAGGTTATGCAGAATTTGCTTGTTGATCAAGTTTCTGGTCCTGTCGGACTTGATAATGGTGGAATCAGTGAGAACGATCCTACTGCAGGAAGTGATGTGGGACCTGTGCGTGTTGAGCATGACTCTATCACGACAGGGGACAAGGCCGGCGCTGCGATTCTCACTCTCATGGTATTCGCAGTGTTCTTTGGTGGAGGCGCCTGGCTGATTATGAGCGAATAGTTTTATTTCTTAATTCAAAGCATTTTCCACTTCATTACATTGCGCGAACTGGGGCATTGATACTGAATGTGCACTCAACGCTTCATCACCGACTATCACCGACGAGAATCCGGAGTGGAGTGGTTCTACGCTTGCCAGCGACGCGTGATTTTGACTCAAGAAAGCTGTTTGACCCCAAACCTGCAGCACCACACGCGTGTATATTATGATCTGCAGGCATTTGTAATGCCGTGTCTGCAATGTGTATACACCGTAACCTATGAGAGGGCGTCTCATGACATAAGCATGCAGATCATGTCCTGAATGAGGTAGGATAGCGACTTCCCAACTCGGAATTAGCGCGTGTATACCTAGGTAGCAGCTGCATCACCTCACGCCAGCTATCCAGCATTTGTAAGCTCTCCGGCTATACCTCCGACATCACAACAACAACATAAGGCTGCTATCAATCTATCAGTCTCAAACGATCGTTCAGTACTCGCCTGGTCTTACAATCGCAATCGTGGACAGTAACCAATAGCAAACATGACGTCAGCTAAACCCTTCAGCACCGTACCAGCAGGCGCGCAACAACAGCCCACACCCTTCGAGCTGCATGTTGAGGAACAGAAGTTGCAGGACTTCAAGACTCTGCTCAAGCTGAGTCCGGTCGCGAAAGAGACGTATGAGAACAAGCAGAATGCGGGAAGCCACGGCCAGTTTGGGATCAGCCGGCAATGGATCATTGATGCGAAGAAGGAATGGATGGAGAAGTTTGACTGGTACGAAGGCGCGACAAAGATTTGAAAAGGAATGGTTGCATTGACACGTTACAGGCGCAAGGAAGAAGACCGCATCAACTCTCTCCCCAACTTCAAGACCACCATCAAAGACGATGGTGGTAGCAGCTACGACGTTCACTTCGCTGCATTGTTCTCCAACAAGTCAGACGCTATCCCAATCGCTTTCTTCCACGGATGGCCTGGCTCATTCTTGGAGTTCCTACCCCTCATGGAAGTTTTGAGGAAGAAGTACACGCCAGATACCCTCCCTTACCACATCATCGTACCATCTCTCCCCGGTTTCGCTCTATCGTCTGACCCACCACTGGATCAAGACTGGAAGGTCGCGGACACATCCCGCATCATGCACAAGCTGCTTCTCTCCCTCGGATTTGGCGCATCAGGATACCTCGTCCAGGGCGGTGATATCGGCGCTTGGATCGCGCGGGAGCTGGCATCTACGTATCCTGAGTGCAAAGGCATGCATCTCAACTTCATGCACACGGTCGACATCAAGTCCTACTCTTCGCCTGAGGACGAGCTCAGTGCAGCGGAGAAGAAAGGTCTTGAGAGGATGAACGAGTTCATGGAAGTAGGCAAGGCCTATGCAGTCGAACACGGCACCAAGCCTTCCACCATTGGTCTCGTACTGTCCAGTTCCCCTATGGCGCAACTGGCGTGGATCGGCGAGAAGTTCATGGCGTGGACTGATCCGTCCACCACGCCTTCCGTCAACACAATCTTGTCTGATATTACCCTGTATTGGCTTACTGGCTGCTACCCGACGTCAATCTACACGTACCGAGAGGGCAAGAAAGTCAAACATGTGGACAAGCCGACGGGATACAGCTACTTTCCTTACGAGCTTTCGCCTGTTCCGAATGCCTGGGCGGCGAGGACAGCGAACCTGGCGTTCTTTAGGGCGCACGAGAAAGGCGGTCATTTTGCAGCATTGGAGAGGCCCGAGACGCTGTGGGCAGATGTCGAGGAGTGGGTCAAGATCGCTTGGAAATGAGTTGGTCGTGGCGGTGAAGTCAATGATTGT